AGACTTTTATAGACACCTCTTGGCTACAATATGTGCCTTTATACCTGAAAAGATTTATGATATGACCAACAAGGAGTGCAACCAGAACTGAAACTCAGGATAATGATCATATGCAACTTACAGATCTCCAAATGTTCCAGATGCAATTTTGTTTTCAAATTTCAAAAGCTGTGAATCAATTTCCCAATCATCAGTTCCATCACTATGTATTTTTACACATTCAGAATTTGGTTCAGGCACTGTTTGGTTTTGCTCGTTGTTAAGAGTAAGTATGAGTTCTGGTTGCTCCTACAACATGTTTTCAGCAGAGTTACTAGCTGCTCAATGATGAAATCTAGAAGCACTGAATCAGTATGTGGAAATATTATGATTGATTAGAATCCTTCAAATATAAGCAGGAAGAAGAACTCAATGATACTAAATCTCCGTCTTATTATTGTAGAATTGAAGAAAGGTATCATCCTCGGGGAAGGAGGAAAAACATGCAGCCATTGTAGGAGATAGGCTGAATTGACGTAATTGCCCTCCTCTTAGATGACCATTTAACAGAATTACAGACGGAGGACCAAAAATGTCCTCGTCACAATAAGTCTGTCCATAGAATGACAAATTTTTTTATGGAAGATTAAAATTGTCCGTGTCATTATAAGTCTAGGACCAAAAATGTCTTTTACTCGTTTGTTTTATATATGTTATATATGCTTATAAAATAAATTATTTATTTAAAGTGAGATTTGAACTCTTAACCTCATACTTATTATTTAAGTTCTTTCCAATTAAGCCATTTCAATCCTTTTGAAATCATGTTGATTTAATAAACCATTCTATGATTTTTAAAGAGTTATGTACTAAGAAAATCATTATTTTGAGAATGATTTATACCTTGCATATTTCTTAGTTTGATAAACTTATTATTTATTTTGGAAATATGTACTATGTTATGTGATTTTAAGGAAATGATTTTTGTTACATCGGGCTATTTGATTATAAGAACTATTTTGATTATTTGATCAAACTCATGAGGCAACCTACATTTTATTGTTTGTTTAGTTTGGCTTGGAACGTTCCTAATTGCTCATTCCTAATCGTCGAGCTTGACTCATTCCGAATCGTCGAGTCTTTTGAATTATTTGTTGGAACGTTCCATCCGACTCATTCTGAATCGTCGACCCTGACTCATTCTGAATCGTCGAGTCTTTTTGACCATTATACCGATAATGGCTTGTGCCACAGGATATAATGGTTGTTGTAGGTTGCCAATGAGTCATATGTTAAGGAATAGTTTGTGCTTTTGAAAGTATTGTATTATGAAATATTGTTGATGCCCATGTAGCTAAAGTTTCTTGTTTTGTGAACTTGTGTATAGTATGATGAAAGTATATTATGACTTCGATATAGTTTAAAGATCGAGTTTTGCATCGAGTTATTACTCTAAAGCTTTTTGTATTATTTTGGGGTTACTTAATCCGGGGTTGAGAGGAGTATCACTTACGGGGCATTAGCTCATTACTTGTATTTTATTATCTCATGTTTCAGATTAGTAAGGACATGTGAATAGAATGAGCACAAGTGGTGGGGTCTCAAAGGTGACTTTTGAAACTAGGAGACTTAGTCCTAGTGTTGGAGCTTATCATGAATTTTTGTTTCTTTTGGATATTCCCTTTGACCCTTGTATATTTTGGTAACCTGTTGTGCTTGTGATGTATTTTGGACATACTACTCATGATTGTAAAAAAATTTGTGTGTGGATTTAATGAGCTTTTGGGAAGAACTAGTTGCTTATATTTTGTCATTTTGGGTTGTGGAATTGTTATGTATTTAAGTGTTGTTATGAAGGTTTTCGAGAGATACGTGCGGTTAGGCTTCGTATTGTTACAAGTTTTCATGTAACGGTACGGTCGGGTCATTTCCTAGAAGTGGGGCGTGACAATAACATTACACTTAACTTGCTCCATTTGCTCTCTCTTCACCCACTCTGTTACATGAAAATGGTTAGTAAACTGCAGCTACAACCAATAAAACAAAAATTCATGAACAATTATCAGTGCATATCATAAATCCCATAAGGATTTATCCAGAAACACCCCAAAGTGTTATCTGCTGCAACCAAAAAGAGCACCACTCATTCACTTGGATGCCATAATTGAAAAACATTATATTGACAGCAAGATTGCAATTTCAAATTTATATTGTCTTTATAAGTTCAAAACTACCAATGCTCTATATATACTTTAATTAAACAACTTAAAATAATTAAGCACATTCAAGTGAATAACTTTTTTCTTATTGGATATCTGCTTTCAAAAATCTAATCTCAAAATAGTTTCATATACTCCTTAAAATAGCAAGACCAAACAGCTTTCAAAAGATCGTAAGCTCTTTCCATCAGCAACAGTCAAAAACTAAAATAATAAAAAGCAGAATAAGCAACTAATATAGCAGTTTACTAAGCTCTGTCCATCAGCAACTTCTTCTATATAATAGTATGATTTGCAACAGAGTATTGTGCCAATTCAAATACCTGCAGCCTAATCCACCAAAACATTACTGTCTTCCTCCGCATCCCATTCTTCCTCTTTTGTTGTTTACAGGTTTCGTCGCAATCCATAAATTAAGTAAAAAAAAAAAAGGTGAACACACAGCAATTAGATAGGTAAGGAAATATGAAATAGATGTGAGAGGAAACAAATCAGCTATGATGGCCATGAAGAATTCAAATATAATAAAGTTCATGTTAAATGGTCACACATAATATATTAGAGGGATAGAAAGAGACCCTAATATTTTTCGAACGAATAAGGAGGGTATTTCCATAGTTGTTGTATTGCTCTTCTTGAATCAACTTTGCGGAAGCCAGAATGGAAACCCAACACCAGTTTAACTGAATCAGTGCTAGTGTGGTGATATCCGCAAAACCACTAGGGATCTCTCGCAAATTATCACATTTATGTAACTCTTAAACATTCAAGCATAGGGAAATGGTCACCCACGGCTCTACAATGTTCCAAACATGTATATTCAATTACCAATCTTTTCAATTTACGGAACCCTTCCTCGGATGGTTCCCACATTGTGTCTTTGCGAGCAATAGCACGTTCCAGTTTTAGAACCTCTAGATTCTGCAACATACCAATAAGCCTCATATCACTCCATGCCAAACTAGTCAAGAAGAATTTGAGCTTCTTAAGATTTGGTAGTAAACTAGTTGCCCATGAGATGCCATTACAAGGAATATGGTTGAGATTATGCCACTTTATGATGCTTAGCTCCTCAAGCTGTCCCAAGTGCACAAAATTATAAAAGCAATCTAGAATGTTTTCATTGTATCCATCAAAAATTCCCATTTTTTTAAAAATTCGGAATCCTTGTATACAAATCCTTTGTACAGAGTTTAGAATTCAACCATGATATACTCTCTAAGTTTTTATGAACAACTGACAAAGTTCCTAATGAAACAATCCCTTGAATGCAAAAAATTCCTTAATAGTGGCATTTTCGAAATTCCAGATGCCTCAAAAGAATCGAATGTAGCATTAATTCCATGAACAATAAAGCTTTGCATATTCCAATGTTCAAAGAGCTCTAAACGAAAATATTTGCCTGAAATCATATTTTTTGAATATCTCAAATGAATAAAATTTGCAAGCGCATATAGTTCCCCATATCCATGGGAATATATACGCTCTATGTTTACTACTCTTAGTAGTTTGAAGTGTGAAAATAGATGTTCCACACTTGAGTAATAAGCATAAGGACAGTGAAAGGAATGAGATTTGTGAAAGCACTTTGTCATAGGAAGTGGATGAAACCCTAATGTAGCACATATCCAACGACAAGAGATTTCCTTCTTGTGAAATGGAAGTTTTTCATCTCCAATGATATTCATGAGATTTTCATGTCGAGCTTCTCTCAAAGTCATGTATTCTTACTGTCTTCATTTTCCCATTGTAGCTCTGTTTGCTAACAAAAACAAGATTTCTATCAACAAGATCTTGCAAGCATTCCATGGCCACTTCCTCCATATTTCGATGGTCCTCTGCCCTCAAAAATCCCTCTGCCGCCCACAACCTAACCAACTTCTTCACATGGATCTCATAGTCTTCAGGGAAAACTCCAAAATATAGAAAACAAGCTTTTAAGTGGTGTAGTAGTTGGTTGTAACTCAAATATAGTAACCTGGAACATGCATCATTAGAATCACCAATTACATATCTACTCACATTTTTCGCAACATTATTCTACTTCTCCACTGCCGCCTCTGTCTTCAAGAGAAGACTAGCTAGCTACTACAATAATAGCTAGAGGTAATCCTTCACATTTGTTCACTATGTCTCTACCAATTTCTTCGAACACCGAAAGAAATTTCGTTTGACCAAACACATTTCAGAAGAGATTCCAACTTTCATTGGCATCTAAGAAAGGCATATTAATGGTAGAGTTACCTGAACTTGCATATTCAGCCACCTCCCTTAGTTGAGAAGTCAATAGTATACGACTTCCATTATTATCATCTGGAAAGCATCTTTGCACAATATCCCAAGCAGTAGTGCTCCATATATCATCCATCACTATCAAATATCTCTGACCCATCAAGTGTTTACACAAACTTTCTGCTAAGTTGTCATTGGACGCTACATTAACACAACTAATAAGGGATTGGAGCATTTGTTTAACGTTATACTCTTGAGATACAGTAACCCATGCTTGGATGTAAAAATGAGAAGTAATTGATGGATCTTCATAGACTTTGCGAGCTAAAGTCTTCTTGCCTATTCCGCCCATGCCTACAATTGATACAACTTGTAGCTGCTTTGCTGATTGTTGGGTGAGTTGATCCATATTATTGTCTTGAACTTCTCGTTGAATGCGACCATTCTACTGTCAAACTTTATTGAAGCGATTATGGAAAATTTACTCATAGTAATATTCTCGCGTTCTAGATTAGGTTGTGATGATGTTGAACCAAAGAATAGTCCTCTTTGTCGCATCTGACCAAGAAGTTAAACGTCAGTGATCCTTTCACCTTGTGATGGACCCTTTGCAAGCTGCATTTCACTTTTAATTTCTATCAACTTCTTCTTGACGTAATCAGTCTGTTTTATAGCTTCATTGAAGATTTCGTGAAGCCTGAGGAGGTAAGCAAGATTCTTAGTCCAACCATTTGCCAGATAAATGGTAGTCAACTCCATCTGAATCCTTTTTTTAGCTTCGAACGCTACATCTCTCATCTCTCCCTCTAGATCTTTCATCACCCACGCATCATCATAGGTGATGATCTCAGATTTCTTAAGACTTTCTTGAAGGAAACAAAGATTTCTATGGAGAGAGATCACCTTCCATTCATATATAAGAGGCAGGCGTGATTGTGATTGCAAGAAATTTAGATGGAGTGTTTCTTTAAGCGAAGTTACAGCACCAAGGAGTGATGAACTCTTTGCAAACTGGTGCTTACTTTTAATCTTAATCAATTTCTTCTTCAGGTAATCAGTCTGTTTTACTGCTTGCTTGAAGATTCCATGAAGCCTGAGGAGGCAAGCCTCCTCTATACTGCTTGACTGAATGTATATGTTACTCAACTCCATCTCAATGCTTTTGTAACACCCCCCAAAAACAAGGCCCAATTGAAGCCCTAACACAAGCAGATTAACAACAAAACTAGCACAGCGGAAGATAAACGGAAATTGGATAAAAGAAATCAAAAAAAAGGGGTGTTATGCCACGTATACCACACTAGGTAACGCTAAGGCAACAATCTGCAAGTGTATAAAACTATCCCAATACATCAATCTAAAACAGTCTAAATACATTGGCGCACAGGCCACAAAAACAGAAAGGTGCTAAGCTACCAGGCTCTAGACATCGCTCTCGTCTAAACATCACCTGAAAGATACAAAGATAAACATTGGGACGACGCCCGGTCAGCGAATAATGCTGGTAACCCACCAATACCGTTAAGTATCATAAATAGGTAGATATAAGATATAAAAACCGATTTCAAAATGGAATACATATATATAAGTCAAAAGCCAAGATCACCAGTCAACACAAGACTCATCACTCTCAAGACCACACGGGAACACATCCCAAACCACAAAGGTTAACCACACACAAGGATAAAGACTCACCCAACGGCAACACATGCCAAAACAACACAAGCCTCCGTGACTACACACGTCACGAGAGAAGATCACACAATGCCGGCTTTACAAGCCCTCGCAACATCACCCATCACGAGTTGGTATGCCTTCCTTATGCCCTGTTCTAACCTCATGGCTACCCCCAACCTTGTACCTTCTTTTCCAACCATTACCTCCAGGATCCCCTGTACAGCCAAGTCCAATCTTATTCCGCCGAGACCGTCGTCCCCCACCTATAACCACCAACGAACCACCACCAATCACGGCAACGCATGCCCGGATAACACGTGTTATCCCCCAATCACGTGGACCCATCACTCAGGCCACAACTCCATAATCACGCCACGGCCACCACGACGACCGCTGCAATACCTTGGTGACTAGCATCCCATACCACAAACCGTGCAATCCAGGTAGAGCCATACACGCACCACCACTCACACGAGAGTCAAACAACGGATTACAACGAAGGTATGAAACACACTCAATCAAGGAACGGGTCACAGCCCAATCAACAACAATGATGAATAACACAAGTTATCATCAACCAAACGGAAGGTACAAACAAAACACACGCTAGTATTAAGACAACGAACTAGCATGCTTAACAACGGGGAAACTCAAGATAGTTCCGAGGAACACACAAGATACCTCTTGGTTCAACGAAACACAATGTTCAACACTTAGCACGAATCAAGACACCAAAGTCCTACATGGATACCTACCATAGAGTTCTAGACCTACGAAAGATCAAGAAGACACTCAAATAGTTCCACAAAAGAACAACGGGAAGTCAAAAGATCAAATACCGAGACAACGAATCACGGGGAACAAATCCCGAACCAAACACCACACGTGTTCCCCGCGGGTGGACCCATAGGTAGGCCCCTACACGTGGTTCTGCCCGCGGGTACATACTCTTGGGCAAAATAATCCCTTCGGGTATTTTCTTCTCCAAACACAAATTCAAGTCCAAAACACACCAAATCTCACCAAACACAACAAAATGACTTGAACCATGGAAAATGCCAAGCAATGGCACAAGGGAACCCTAAACACAAGCTCTAGATATGCAATATCACAAGATAAATGCATAAACCCTCACATTTCATAGCAAAACACATGTAGAATCCAAGAAATCACATATAGGTAAGCAAAATAGGTTTTGTAGAGCATGGGTTACCTCTTGAAGACCAAAAGACTTCACTTTACACCACAACAAGCTCTCCACTAGGCTCACTTCTCAAACCCACTTCAAGATCAAACCAAAAGATCATAAAGATCCTACCTTTAAGAAAGAGACAACTAAGATGGAACCAAAAAGACTAAACAAGCTTAGATCTTACCCTCCTAGATGCCCAAATAGGTGAATGGTTGAATCTTGGAAGCAAAACTTGGAATCTTGACAAGGGTCTCAACTTGGCTTGGAGAGTAAGCTACACTTCTTTTCTAGAGAGAAGGTAGAGATATTTTTCTAGGAATTGTAAGGAATGAAATGAAGAAGTCTTCTAGGTTAGGATACAATACTAACTCTTGGTGAAAAGACAAGGCTACCCTTACTAACCCTTAGAAAGTGTAAGGAACAAGGGAACTCCCCTCAAAGCACAAGGTACAACAGAACTTAAAGGTTGACTAGTCAAATTTTAGTCCTTGAGTATTAAAAATCAGGATTTTAGGAATCAATTCCTCAAGAGAATTAGAATTAATTACTCAATTAATTCATGGATTGGAGTGTGGATTTTTGGGGTGTCACACCTTTCTTTGGCTTTGAACGCTACATCTCTCATCTCTGCCTCTAAACGTTTCATCGCCGAATTATCATAGCCATAGGCGATCTCAGATTTCGCAAGAATTTGTTGGAGGAAACCAAGATTTTCATGGAGAGAAAGTATTTGTTGTTTGTGTTGAAGAGGGAAGCATGGTTGTGATTGCAAGAAATGTAGATGTAGAGTTTCCATAAGTGAAGTTACAGCAACGTACGCCATTTGCGTCTCTGTTCAATGGTAAGTTGATGAGATGAAGAATTTAGGATGAAATGAATGATTAGAAGAGAGAGAGAGAGAGAGAGAGAGAGAGAGAGAGAGAGAGAGAGAGAGAGATAATATAATTGATAATTGTTGTTAAAAGAAAATAGGAAACTGTTGTAATTTGGCCTTCTAATTAGCTCAGTTTCAGCATGGTAGTTATACAACAACGTGTCGATTGTATGTATGAACAAGATTGCAATATGGAATGGAAGAGTAGAGAAGTAAGAGGAGAAGAAGGACACAAAATGTAGAGCACAATAACATAAGATCTTCAAGATCAATTTCATTAAGCTTTCACTATCAATTTATACTAATCCACACAACCTTTCATATCCTTAACACAAACAATATAATAAGTAGAAGGCAAATGAAGAGTCACAAGTTTAATGGCCATCAATAAAGAATTTATAACATCCACCCATGGCCATTAAATAACTATACTCATGCCTCGTTAAAAACCTCGCTAGAAAAACCCAATGGGAAAAAACCTAGACGAGGAAAAGAGTACATGAAGTATGTCAAACCATGTGTTGCACCGGTTGCCTCATTAAAAACCTTAGCCTCAGAAAACCCAGTGGGAAAAAAAACTTAGCCAAGGAAAAGAGTACAATCATAAGCCTTCCAAGCATAATCTTCCAGATTTAAAGGCCTTCAGGACTATCTACTCAAGTGCACCAACATCGGTTGCCTCATTAAAAACCATAGCCTAAGAAAACCTTGTGGGGAAAAACCTTAGCTAAGGGAAAAAGAGTACAACCATATGCTTTCATAGCATAATCTTCAGGATTTCAAAAAGTCCTCTAGATTGTCCATTCTAGCACAACTAGGGGTTATCGCTCCCCTTGAAGGTAACAATCTTCTAAGCCTACGCATCGCAATTTTATAAACATATTACTCAAAAGTGGATGTAGGCAGAGACTTAGTGAACATATTTGCAAGATTGTTCAGTGGGGCAAACTTTCTCAACAAGAATTTTACAACTCTTCTAGAGTTCATGTGTGTAGAAGGACTTAGGTGCAACATGTTTTGTAAGGTTCCCCTTAACAAACCTATTACTTGCTTGTGCAACACAATCTTATTTGTCCTCATATGGGACATTGGGGTTAAACATATAACATAACCAGTTTTGGATTTGGCATCATAGGGATCAAATAAAAGAGCTAGTGCCCAAGTAACCCATCAAAACCACATATGAGTTTCTCACATAAACGTCAAAATCTTTGTACCTTGAAGGCGTTGGAGGATATGTTAAATACCATTCCAATTTTCATTGTAGGGGGAAGCACTAAATGTTGTTAGCAATTTCATCGCAAATTCAATATCAGGCCTGATGCGATTGTGGGACTTCTAGTTCAATAATAGTGCTCCAATAGGAATGAAGTAATGGACTTTCAGTCCCTAAATATCCTCATTATAATCTTCGAGTCTAAATGGTCATTTATCTACTTCAAGAGATTATTGGACAACCGTTTGTGTGATAAGTAAATAATACTTATCCATATAAAACATCTTCATGACATTTTTCAAGTAGGCTAACTGGTGTATAAAACTTCTTCATGGAGAGGCTCGATCTTCAGGTCGAGACAATACTTGGATTTCCAAGTCTTTTATTTCAAAACTCCGTCTTTCGGCATGAGCTGATATCACCAAGCTCTCTATGTGTTTCAATGATATTTAAACCATCAATATCGACTGAGATGATAAATAAATAACTCCATTAGCAATTCTTTAACGAACACATAATGGTACATATTATTTGTACATTCCTTCTTCGGGATGAAAACACTCAGTCAATAATATTCAAGTCATACAAAGAGCTTAGTAGTTTAATGATACATGTTGCCATTTTTCACTTTCCTTATTTCAAAAGTGTTGAATCCATCACGGATTTACAAATAAATATTAGCGTCTAATGACCGGTAAGTTTGCGGTCATGACACTCATCAACTGCATATCTAAATTTATAATTCACTGCCAATGATGTTAATTAGCGGAACATAATGCTATCTATTATGAAAGAGAAAATTTGATCAAAATCAATTTAGGGTCTCTGCGTAAACCCTTAAGCTACCAGTCTCGCTTTATATCAAACCACCAGATTATTTGTATTTCTCTTTTTGTACAAACACACATTTGTAACATTTAGGGTTAACATTAAATGGTGTACATGTTATGAAGAGAATACAGTTTTAGTAAGTTGAACTGTATATGCCTTAATTGCTCCTTTATACATAAAAAAAAAATACCAAGGCACAATTGGTGCCTAGCTCTGGATCCAGATTCTCATATAACGAGAGCAATTTGTAAAGGCAATTCTGTTGTCAACAACTATAACATTTTTCATAAATTTCTCCCATATACATCAAATAATGGCAATTTCTAATTCAACCAGACTGTACACATTTCCCAAAGATATTTTTATCTGGTCGTTCCGCATCCCCAGTATTATGATTTTGGGTGCACATATAAATTTACTAGGGATTTTCAACTTCTGGACAAATGCTTTCAGGACATACTTCTTTAATCAATTTCAAGAGTGACACCATTTTCTACTAGATTTAGCTTTCCACGGACTATACCAACATGTCTCCACGCTTCTGGCGTCAAGGAGCATTGGTAGATATATATGGTCCAAGTTGGGGAAGATATATAAGACCTAGTCACTCTTTTTATGATCAATATATATATTGGCAGATTAATTATCTTCTGAACTTCTAGTTCAGTTTACTTCTTCTGAACTTCTAGTTCAGCCTACCTAGTACGTGGATTTAAATATTGAAGATCTTTTTCATCAATCATCCATAGAATTTCTCGGCATTCTATTAAATTTGAGCTCTTATCTCCCCCTAATGCCATGAAATGATCTTCATAAAGTGTGCAGTCAGCGTACCTAATTATATATTGATCCCTTATCATGGGCTCTAAGAATTTAAATAACAGGTGGAAGTTTATAATCAACATATGCATGCCCACAATGATACGCTATGGTGGTGATATAGGAAAAAGACTGCACACTGTGAATAAAACGCAGATGGGAAATGCTTGGTTTTATACCACATACTAGGTTCTAGGGGGAATAATTATGATATGCAGTAGTTCAGATTGCGATAACCATAATAGCATATAAAACTGGTGTACCCAACAAGAAAATATATAATCAGATATGAAAGCACACATATCAAATAATATTATAAGGGTACACAACAATCATAGAGAAGCCGTGAAGCTTGTCAAATAAAATAGATCTTCAAGATCTCCCAAAAATCCTTATCCTCAACTTAATTTCCAAAGAGTAACATCACTAGCTTCGTGCAAATTGACATGATATAATTTACTCCCTCATTTGCTTCATGCAAACTAATATGATATAATTCACTCCCTCATTTGCTTTGGGCAAACTGATATGAAATAATTTATTCCTTTGTTTGCTTAGGGAAAATTGATATGATATAATTCATTCTTTCGTTTGCTTCGGGCAAACTGATATGATATAATTCAATTTTGAATTAGCAACCAGTCAATTGCATACGAGAGTCATGTTGCATGGATGAGAAAAATTTCCATATATAAATAAGCATGCAAACTAAGAGAATTAACTCTGAGAAGTAAACTTCCTCTGGAAAATAAAGTTCCAAAAAGTAAAATTTCAAGAAGTAAATCGAGAAGTAAGATTACAGAGGTCAGCTTAGAGAGGTAAATTTTTTGAATAGTCAATTCGAGTAGTAAAATAGCAAGAAAAACAACAAAGTAAAGTCACTTTGCATTCATAATAATTTGCCACCAAAAATAACTTTGCACTCAAAAACACATTTGGAGTGTATATACTACTCGGTTACGCAATAAGTTATTGCGGCCATGAATTAACTTTTCAGGTGCTTCAGGCAAAAACAAACTTCTCGGATGCTTAAAAAATGAGTTAACTTCTCGGATGCTTCATGCTTCAGGCACGAGCTAACCTTTTTATCCATGAATATATTTCATGAATTACTAAAATATTATCATGACACCAATCATTTATTCATCAATACCTCATCATTTCATTATCATCATTTATCACAGTATTGCTTCAGGCAAATTACCTAAAATCATCAAGATGATGCGCATTCTTCGACGACCAAATGCTTTGCTGTGTGGCACGTAGGGATCAATGCCCTTCAAACCCACATTGTTATCAAACCTGCTTCTGGCTAGGATTTTGCCTCGATGAGTTTGGTCGTCCTTGAATATCTTGATCACTTTGTTTCTTATTCTGAGCTCGAAACTCATACCACACCGGTTATAATTTTGATCGTAACCCTTATAAAGTTGTTCAACTGGGTAACATTATGTGCTTCAGGCACCTGTGCAAAAATCGACCATACATGCATTTTGATTCTTCATCAACAAATAGTTATGTTTCTTAGCACAAGGAGTGCTAAAATTAGCTTAGGATGCGTCTCATAATTTGTTATCTTGTACTACTGCTGGCAAAGTCTTTCCAATTAAATATTTCCTGAAACTTCTTGTTTAGAGTTTCACTTGCGAGACTATTTTGTGCATAGTTGAATTATAGTTTATCACTGACTTACATTATAATCTCAAAATTAAACATGAGATTAAACTAGTCAAAATGTGTCTGAGGAAGAACATATGATGACTTCTGGTCGGAATAGTCCTTCAGGGACTTCCATTAATTCAAGGGGTTGTTTTCAATTAGATACTCATTTTTTATGGTCGTGGTTCAAGTGGTGACGTATGAAAATGAGAGCTTGTGCCTTCTAGGCATCGCTGCTCTGTGACTTAGCAACAAAAAACTTAGCTCAATTCTTTAGATGCCAAATATATTTCAATATCAAAGCCCAAGCTAAATAATTGCTTCATTCATAAGTGAGCTCAATAAATTCACATTTTTAATGAAAGGCATGATTTACAAGATCATCATTTGATGCAACTTATACTTACAAAAACAGTAGTTGATATTGTAATTTTGCATTTTCTCTTTTTTGATAAATTAACAGGATTAGTCAACTGTCCGAGATTACTGATTGATTCAGTTACAAAGATAGTCAGTAATAATAAATCATGTAGAGGATGTAAGAGAAAGATAACAGCACAAACTCAACGACACAGAATATTTACCCAGTTCGATACAGTGTGTATCTACGTCTGGGGGACGATCACATAGGCGTCCAATCCACTAAATCATAATCCAATGTACAAAGGTAGATATACAATAATCTTGCCCAAGTGCCCCACACAAGGTACAAACCCAGTCTACACAGGTTTAGTGGATTGTTGAAGATGGAGAGCCATGCATACAGAAGTCCAATGAAATCCCTTCACTTGGAGAGCCCACTCTGATGCAGTCCACTTCAATGACGCTCTTTAAGGTTGTTCCCACAACAGTGCGATCACAGTGTCATTTCGTTTAAGCAGCAGTGATTCTTCTCAAGTTCATCATCTTAATCACCAAGAACATATTGTATTGAGAAGATGCATGCCAATCAAAGATCTAATCTCATATAGCAGATGGGGAGTGTTTCTTCATACTTTTCGACGTAACCCTAATTTTCTTCGAGTAAGGGTACTTATAGATTCTTCAATAAACTCTCTCCATAAATGACTTTGATTGTAGAAGGTAGGACTATAAAAGAGGAATGTAATCTCAGAAGATTAGGTCCATACCTTCCTTGAAAATATACGTTGATCTTCTTTCCAAACTTGTCTGATAATACCGCGTAAGTCTTTTAGAAATCAGCTTCCTAAATCCGATCTTCAGTGTCAGTCCTTCTGTTGTTGCTTCTGATTGATCAGTCGTCTGTAGAGCTGGACGGACAAACTCTAAACCTATCTTAGTATGCCATAATAATATTGCCAATTATAATATGGGGTTTTTGAACATTTAAAAATACTAACAAACTCCCCTTTGGCTATTATTTGGCAAAACAACTCGACTATATAGATAGACACAACATAAAGAACTAAGATAGGATAATATAAAGAAGCAACCCAATAAGTCTGATCTGATTACAAGGAATAGAAACAAAAACATAAGATCCAAAATAGTTTATGATCAAAAACCAAAAGTGGTGCCATCAATAACAACGCCCAGCCAGGGTCAGAAGGTACTCAAACACAAAAAACTCCCCCTGAGTTCATACTACTCCCCCTTTTTGCCAATGATAGCCAAAGGTCAAGCATTGGAGGAGTGTCACTGTCAGACTTCGCAGGATCAGCAGCAGTAGCAGATTCAGATAGGCTTAAACGAAGAAGAACGGTTGCCAGCTCAGTACGGGCCCCTGTCAGTTGCTTTGCAATAATGCTATGTACTGTCTCAAGATCAGCGACCCTTGCCTTCAACTGTATGGAAAGCTGAACATCCTTAGCATGAGGAGAGTCATCAGACACAGCATCAGGTTCAGAATTGGATGGGGCAGTCACAGGAACAACATCCCGAAAGTGATCTCCAGTCAGCAGTCGTTTATCAACAGTATAGAGCAGCGTTGGACTGATCACTTCACTGGGCATAGGCTCAAGACCCTGAGTGGTAAGAATGCCAAAAATCAGATTTGGGAAGGGTAGTCTTACCTTCTGTTCCCGTGGATGAATCAAGGTAAGGATGTGATAGTAAATCCATTTTCCCAGATCAATTGGCATCTTTGTTCCAATTCGAAATAAGAAGCCTACCAGTAGCTTGCCAACCGTGTGGAAATGAGCTGATGGGAGCCAGTTGTGAAGGGCCAAGCGATGTAAAATCACATATCTGGATGTGAGATGCGAGCTCTGCAGATAGTCCTTATCTCCTGTAGGCCAAGATTCTGTCTGTCCACCAGTAAGAGTTCTGGCCACCAAGTTCCAGTCAGTGATAGGGTCTTCTTGCACAGCAGTCAAACCATAGTATTCATTGATCATGTCCGGCCCAAAAACGTACCACCTTCCTCTGATGAAAATCTGCATCGGTCGTGGCCCAGTTAGGATGTCAATCTCGTCATTGAGATTGCAATATAATTCATACGTGAGAAGCTTAGAGTATGGGCAGATGTTCGTGACAGTCTTCAACAATCCGACTTCATTCAGCAGAGGTAAAATGTCACAGACAGAGTTCAGCTGGTTCTCATCCACAGATCGTTGAACAATAAGGTCCCTTCTAACCATGGTAGACCATTTGGTCTGAGCAGTAGGAGAAACAAACTGAGGCCTGTAAACAGATGGGTCAGTTTCTTCAACAGGTTGAACCTCAGGAGTAATGCTTCGACCTCTTGATCATGTGGATGGCTTCCCTTTTCTGACAGATGGTGCAGGTACAGAAGTAGCTTGAACAGCAGGCCCCTTTTGCTTAACAGACGATCGCAGAGTCTTGAACACTTGTTGAATAGGCGGATTTCCTTCAGGCTTAACAGCCTCACTCGACTTCCTTTTCTTCTCACGCTGATCCACATCAGCACTGTCATCACCAGTCTCAACAACAACTGTAACACCCCAGATTTTCAAGATATTTAAAACTTATAAAATAAAGGTGAAATCTCATTAAATCCCAAAACATAATACAGGAGTGCGGGGTGCTATGCCACACCTGAGCTAGAGAACTCAGGTGCACAGGCTAACTATCTAATATCCTTAGTAATGTAAATGCATAAACATGGCACGCAGGCCGAACGGGGAAACCATCTACTCCTACGCTCCAAGTTCTAGCGCGCTCCAGTGACTTATTCTTCTGTGCCTGAAAGCCAAATATATCTGTTCAGCGAGAGATGCTGGTAACCCACTCCAACGCGTTAAAATACAATACATATTGAGATATATATAGATATACGAAAACCATTTTGAGCATGAAGATATATCCTACGAGACTCTAGCTGTTAAACCGGGAATGACTCGACAGATAAGGCTAGACACAAGCAACAATTATAACAAGCGTATACAATCCATAACAGGCAAGACAGATAAAGCTGAGCACAATTAATAATCATAACCCAACATAGACAATCCCCAGCATAAATCCCATAGTCACATCCCCCAATATACTCATAAACACAACTCATCCATATCTCATCACATAGCACACTTTGATGGCGCCACAGGACCAATCGCATGCCCATACATGAGGGTCAGCGCATATAGCTCTGACACGGCCCCGCAGCACCCTGCCCCGTCTCACATTACGGAGGAGCCGATCGCAACCGACTGATGGACCTTTGTCCTACATAATATTTATATACCTGACCGGTCTTTACCGGCCTGGTTAACAGTTGGGATGGTTCTCAGCCCATTCAACTGCCCGTATAGTGGACCTTTGTCCTATATAATATTTATATACCTGACCGGTCTTTACCAGCCTGGTTAACAGCCGGTATGGTTCTCAGCCCATCCGACTGCCCGTATAGTGGAACTTAGTACTATATAATATTTATATACCTGACCGGTCTCTACCAGCCTGGTTAACAGCCGGTATGGTTCTCAGCCCACCCGACTGCCCGTATAGCCCGATTGATCTCAACCAAATCGGGGTAACATGCACACATAACACATAGCAAGTACATGCAACCCACATTAACACATTGGGAAGGGGGGAAACCGTATAACAAAACATATGCGTGATCCTTCACATACTAAGAATAGTCCTAAGGGGTTCATACTCCTTTCACCTAGGTCAGTGGGATACCAATTCAACTAGCATGCAATATATAAGACTCATACAACCTACGAACGGTACCCGAAACATCAAACTAGACATAGGCACGATAGACGGAGTCCGTTGGGACACCACGGGGGTCGGGGAAACATCAAACGGGGAAGTCGGGGTCCCAAGTGTGGGAATTTCCAGCGGGTAGCCGGTAGGTGGGGTGCCACCCGCCGGCTGCCCGCCGGTAAACACCGTTCCGGGCAGCGGGTCGCCGGCGGGCAGCTGCCCGCTGCCGGGATCACCATTCCGGCCGTGGGTAGGTGGCGGGTCCCCTACCCCCCACTGACTCTTATCACACAATTTCGCCCCGGGAACCATTGTGGAACCCGAAACCATGTTTAGACACTTTACAACGCAATCAGCGACAACACGTAGACAATTAACGGATCAAATACGAGAAACGAACGGCACATAACCTATCATGCTTTTCTAAACATAATCAACACCCAAACATGCGATTTCCCCACCCGATAGTCCAAGAATAATGTCATACGATACAACCTAGGGTTCTAATCACTTTTATATGAACAAGAATACGATTCACCTTATAATTGCAGGATTCGGTAAGAATAACACATAAGCATCAAGGGCATCACACAATTATCAAGAACAACACATAATCATCAAGAACTCCATATATCATCAAGAACATCATAATTATCAAGACTCCCAATATCAAGATTATCAAGATCCCCCATGGGATCATCACATCAATCATCAATAATAATCATCACAAGTCATTAATACACAATAATATGGGGAAACCCTAAGGGGGAATCATAACTTTGAAAATAGGTTTTGTTGAGACATGGGTTACCTCTTAGCCTTAATTAATTCCTTGGCTATGAAGGATCTTTCTTTAAGCTTTCTTGCTTTCTTGATTTCTTCTAGGAGGATTCTTGGAGCTCTTTGGGGAGGTGGGGCGTTATTCTCGTGGGGGTTTCTAGGTGCCTCTTAAGTCCCCTATTTATATATTTAGGTGTCCTAGTTAGGAACTAATATTATGGGCTTTCTAGTTCTATTTCTTTTGGGACTAAGGATTGGGTTTAGGGATAAGGGCCCGTGGACTATGGTGGGCCTTCCTAATTAATTATTGTGATTTAATTCTTTCTTTTGGGTAATTAATTAAATGATTTAATTGATCTTAGGGGTCGTAACACGGGGTGTTACACTCTCCCCCCCCCCCCCCCCTTATCGGGAAGCTTCGTCCCCGAAGCTTGGTCCTTGCCGAGTGACTTTTCCTTAGTTACCTGGTGTGAAAAGTTCGGGGTAGCGTTCCCTCATTGTGTCTTTGAGCTCCCACGTTGCTTCCTCGGTCCCATGGTTGGTCCAAAGGACTTTCACCATTTCTATGGCTCGGCGACGAGTGTTTCTTGTCTTGGTGTCCAGGATCCTCACGAGTCTTTCTTCGTATACTAGTGACTCATCGAGGTTCACGACCTCGGGTTGAAGCACGTGGCTCGGGTCGTGTACGTATTTCTTTAGCTGAGATATGTGGAATACGTTGTGTACTCGTTCTAGTTCGACAGGTAGGGTGAGGCGATAGGCTAGGTTCCCAACATTTTTTATGATTTCATAGGGGCCGATAAATCGAGGGCCGAGCTTTCCTTTCCTTCCGAATCTCATTACCCCTCGTGTGGGTGAGATTCTTAACCAGACCTTGTCCCCGGTGTTGAACTCGGCTTGTTTCCTCTTTAGGTCGGCATAGGACTTTTGGCGGTCCTAGGCAGCTTTCATCCTTTCCCGGATGTGTTTGACCTTGGTGATTGTGTCCTGTAGGTGTTGGGGCCCTAGTGTTACTGGGTCGACCATGTCTTCCCAACATAGGGGGGTTCTGCACTTTTGTCCGTATAGAGCTTCGTAGGGTGCCATGCGAATGCTCGCGTGGTAGCTGTTGTTGTACGAGAATTCAATGAGGTCTAGGTGTTCCTCCCATGTCCCTTGAAAGTCCAACACGCAGGCTCTTAGCATGTCTTCGAGAGTCTGAATGGTCCTCTCGGTTTGGCCGTCCGTGGTGGGGTGGAAAGCAGTGCTTAGTTTTAGTTGTGTCCCCAAGGCTATTTGCAGTGATTACCAGAATTGTGAGAGGAACCTGGAGTCCCTATTGGATACGATGTTTCGGGGGATTCCGTGATACTTCACTACTCGGCTTAAGTAGGCTTGGGCCAGTTGTGTCATTGTCCATGTTTCCTTCATGGCGATGAATCGTGCTGTTTTGGTTAGTCGGTCCACTATGACCCAAATCTTATCCTTGCCGGTCTTTGTTGGGGGTAGTCCTCCGACGAAATCCATGGATATGGAATCCCACTTTCCTTGTGGTATCTCAAGGGGTTGCACGAGTCCCTTAGGCTTGCATCGTTCGGCCTTCACCCTTTGGCAATTCAGACACCGGGCCACGAAATCCGCGATTTCCTTTTTCATGTTGGGCCACCAAAATGACCTTTTTATATCTTGGTATAGTTTGTCACCCCCTGGGTGAACCGAGTATGGGGAGTTGTGTCCTTCCTCCAAGATTTGTTGCTTCAAGTGGGGGTGCGTTGAGGGCACGCACCACCTTCCTTGGTAACGGAGACTGCCATCTTCGTGTATCTTGAAGGGTCCTTCCTTCCCCTGGGTTAGGTCGAGGCGGATTTTATCTAGTTCCGGATCCCACTGTTGCCCTATTTTGATTTCTTCGAAGAGCGTGGGCATGACTTGCGTGTTGAATAAGTGGATGTCGGGGTGGTTTTGACCTTGTTTTATTATTTCCAAATTCAGTCTTTGGAAGTCCCTGTACAGTTGGTCCGGTAGGATCCAAGTGGTGTTGAGGGAGTGGTTAGTCTTCCTGCTTAGTGCATCCGCCACCACGTTAGCTTTTCCCTCATGGTATTGGATGTCCAGGTCGTAATCCTTTATGAGTTCTAACCACCTCCGTTGTCTCATGTTTAGGTCTTTTTGGGTGAAGATGTACTTTAGGCTCTTATGGTCCGTGTAAATCTTGCATTGCACCCCGTACAAGTAATGCTTCCAAATTTTTAGTGCGAACACGATGGCGGCTAGCTCGAGGTCGTGGGTGGGGTAGTTTTCCTCATGGGTCTTGAGCTGCCTGGATGCGTAGGCTATTACTCGGCCATTTTGCATTAGCACGCACCCCAGCCCCTTCTTGGACGCGTCACTGAAGACCTCGAATCCTTCCTCCCCGGAGGGGATGGCGAGTACGGGTGCCGTGGTTAACTTATCCTTCAATTCCTGAAAGGCCGAGACGCAGTCGTTGTCCCATTGGAAGGGGGTTTCCTTTTTCATGAGTTTGTTGAGGGGTTGGGCTATCCTGGTGAAGTCGGGTACAAATCTCCTGTAGTAGCCCGCCAAGCCTAGGAAGCTTCGGACTTCGGTGAGTGAGCTTGGTGTGGTCCATTCTTCAACGACACGGATCTTGGCGGGGTCCACCTTAATCCCCTCCTTGGTTATCACGTGACCCAGGAAGGCCACGCTG